TGATTTTCTAGAAAATAGTAATTGTACCATTCACTTGGTATAGCAGTGGACTTTTTCATGACTGATTGAATGAATGAATGCTAATGGATAGATGGATGGATGGATGGATGGAAGGACGGGGGCTGGATGGATGGAAGGATGGGGGGTGGATGGAAGGATGGGGGGGTAGATGGATGGGTAAATGCATAAATTTGTATTCACAGTAGGTTCCGTTGGTTCATCTGCTTCATTTACACATGAACCCCTCCTTGAGCAGCACATGGAACCTCACACAGTGACTTTCTGAAGACCCTGCCCTATCCACAGGCTTGTCATTATGGTGTTTAGGGTAGTGGCTGCAGTAGAAATGTTCCTTGCTTCAAAAGTCCTCACGGTGTTTTTAGAGGACCATCAGACACCACGTTGGTTACAGACAGAACAAGCACATTCACACATCCTCAGTGTCCTGTTGGCTGGTGTGTCAAAAATACATTCTCATGGTTTACATTTTATTTACATTGACTTTAGAGTTTTCTGCTCAATATTTAACATGCTTTAATGCTGACAAGGTCAAAGTGTTTGGGTAAGCCCATTGGATTTGGTGTTCTGGGTGATCGTAGTCACATAGCTTTCAAATTAATCCTTTCACCAATTTTTAAAGGAAAACAATGGAGGAGGGTTACTAAGTGCCACCACGCACAGTGTTTATTAAACTCCCACACCACCCGGCATGAACAGAACACTGCCCCAAACCAACTGTTTCATCCCTACAATACAGTTATATTCTTTCTTTTTTTTTTTTGAAAGAAGAGGGTATCTTATACATTGATTAAAAACGGGCTGGCACAATTTCTAAATAGAAAAAAGGAAGGCAAAGCTGACATACATCAAGAATTTCTTTCCTTCGAATGCTTTGAGGCATAGCCAAATTTTATGACTACATTGCTACAAGTAGATGGTGAAGAGGAGAAAAATAATTTCCTAATAGATTCTGATCCAGTCAAGTACTGTAGATGATACATAGCAGATTGACTAGGAAAAATTTAAATGTCACAGAAAAACACTTGTCAAACCCAGAAAATTGTTCAGAGAAGTCACAGTGAATAGCTTCGCATCTCAGGAGCCCAACACAGCCTGTGGGCTTCAATGCTGCAAATCACCTGAGTGAAGCAGTTTCCTTCCTACCATCTGAAATACCATAAATTAAGTCTTCCTAAGACTGCATGAGAGAAACGCTCGTGCCCAAGTCCTGGGCAATTGTTCAAAGGCTCACCACTGTCATCCACCCAAAGAAGTCACCTAATTGTCCAAGTTCCTTTCTCAGGACAAGAAGAAAGAACTCTAATGTGATTGATTGATCAAGGCACACTTACCACTGCAGGAGTCAGATAATGTCGTGTAAAAAACACCCTAGCTCATCCCAGACAAGGGCAAGTAAATACTTAACCCAGCTGGATGACTGGGTATCGCCTCTTCCTGAAGTCAACAGTGACTTGGGGTCCATGACCTTCTTTATTATCCCGGAAATCAGGAGTGGTAGAGTGTCTGCCTAGCAAGCACAAGGCCCTGAGTTCGAACCCCCATACTGCAAAAAGTTTTTTTGATCTCATATTCCATATGCCAAGCTTCATTCTAGAACAAAAGTCTACAACAGAGTCATCAGGAGCTCACAACAGGTCATTTCTGAGTTGCTGACCTGACCTTTGCTAGTTCGAAGGGTCACACAGAAGCTACGCACCATGACATCAGCCACACCGTGTACCACCCCTCCAGTGGCTCCAGGATGGCCACCAGCAGCCTAGACACACAGTTCAGTCTGCAATGGTGTAGTGAGCAGGAAGACTGTCTTCCCCACAAGTCTATCTCTGTTTACCGCATGCAAACCCTCTGCAACACTTGATTCCAAAGAAATCATCACACAGTGATGAAACTGTGTCCTTATCACTAAGATGGGAAGGGAAAGAAAGTTCTTCCAAGAAACTGTCCACATTGCTCTGAATACTAAAGCACTTTCCACAAGGTATCGGTTTATGATGAGTGGGTACGGAATTGTGATGGTCACAGAAGTCACGGCTCTTTCAGGTCTTAGAAAGCTGTTCATTCTGATCTGGTCCATCACAAAGACCAAAGCATGGTCCTGGAAGAAAGCCAAAGGGAGAAGAAGGCCAGGAATTTGGAAGGCAGGTTGCTCACTTAGCACCTTCGGTCAGCAGAGTCAAGTTCACTTGGAGTGCAAATTTAGGGTTCAGGCTAAATGAGTGGGTGGCAACCATGCACAATCCCCTAAGGGACATTTGGCAATGTCTAGTGATACTTTGGTTGGGGAATGGGTGGTGTGCTAATAGTTAGAGGTCAGTGGTGCTGCTAAGTACCCTACAGCGTGCAGGACAGTCCCACAACCAAGAACTATGTGGTAGAAAACGTCAGTAGCACTGAAGTTCAGAACAACCCAAAGCTTATCAGGAATGCTGTTCTAATCTATAAACGGAGCCAGGAAAGGATAAAGAGACTCTAAACTAGCAGGAAGTCAGCGTAAAAGATTAAAATGATACAAATCACTCCACGGGTGCCCTCCAAGGTTCTCTGACCCACAGGGCAATAATTCAGGCAGTGTCCACTCGTTCATTCAAAATATTCAGCAAATGACTATTGTGCACTAGGCCCTGCTGGGCTCTGCGTACAGTCAGAGCTGGTCACTTAAGGAATCCCCAAGAGTACCACCATGGAGCGCTTAGCTCAGAAACACGGAATGTGGAGTTTGGAGACTTGTGCCACTGAGAAGCAGAACTTGTACCTCCCCACCTACATCTCTAGTTTAACTTGCACATAGGCCATCTGTCTCAGACCTGGGAACTTTGGGATTTTAAAAAAATAATTCCTTACAAAAAGTCTCCTGTCCAGAGAGAAACTGTGATTCTCATTGCTGGTGTTAAGAGTGAGCAAAGAAAATTTCTGCACTGCTAACAATGACCTCACTTATCTACCAGAAGTCCAAAAATGAGGAGGACACCCATGAGTGCCATCATTCAAATTATTCCTGCTGCTGCACAGGCAGCCAGCCTTCCTCTCCAATAGTCTGAAAACTGTAGCAGTAACTCTCATGTCAGCTCCTACAATGGGGATGTGCAAAAGTCACTCTGAAAGATGACATAACAATGTGAAGGACGAGGCTGGTGGCCTCCGGTGACTTGCTCTGGAGGCCATGAGAGCACTGAGTCTTGTAACCTGTGTGTCTTCTAGCTTGTTGAGTTCGATCATTAGCAACAATCAACGTTAACCAAGTGATGCCCACAGATGGATGAGCCTCTGTGTTATTATTTTGGTAGTTGGGCAGACAGCAGAAGTGATGCCCTGAAACCTCTTCTGCTTCATGAATAAAACATCAGTTCTCTAAATTTAAACTTAAAACCCAATTAATTCATCAAAATGTCAGTTGTCACCTACAGCATTTTTTGTAGCAAGGAAATACCTTGGAATAAGGAAGAATCCTTACAGGAGTGGAGAGAGAGGAGTGAGGGGTTTTATCCACATATCAGAATCACCATAGCCTTGCTTGCCGGTATTTATTCCTTCAGGGAGGCGTCAGAGAGCGGGTCCCAAGGGACTCGTTTTCTCTGTGGCCTTTCCCTGGTCTTGATTATAAAGTATGTTTGTATCAAACACACTCATCAGCCTTGGAAGCTGCTCACCAGTCACAAATCATGGCAACGCCTTCCCCAAAGCCCATACAGCCAGGCACAAAAAGAATTTTAGCGATAAGCCTTATTGTGACTTCAGAGGCTAAGAGTCAACTCCACAAAGCCTGTGATTTGTATCATTGTCTTTACTTATAAAGAAAACCAAGAATGGAAATAAGAAACAGAGAACTTCGATTTTCTAATACAAATTCAAAAGGCAGAAATAAAAGCTCAGTGTCCTGTCCATTCCCATAAAAAACATGGTTTCCCATGGGTTTGAATTCTTGCTTATCCTATGCCCCAAAAGAGATCTTGGCCCCTTGTCTTCCTTCTGTAATCTAAAGCCAACAGATAGGTGACAATGTCAGCAGCAGAGACAGGAGGAGACCTGTATAAACTTAAAGGTTTGTACTGGGTTAAATGCAATCACTACAATCCTTTAAAGACAAGTCAGAGCATGGAAATTAAACATTCACATTCTATACTTCTTCCTGCAAATGACATACACGAGTAAAATCACTGCCAGCACACTGCTGACTTTTGGCTTGAACTTGAAGCTCTCAGGATTAATCGAAAGATAGACATTCTTTTAGTGATGGATATAATTAAATTACAAAAGCCAGATTTTTTCCCCTAAGGGCCACCCAATAAATGATGCTGCAATTTCAAGCAATAAAAGGTAAAAAAAAAAAAAAAAAAACCTCAAAATCATCAAACTATTATTCCACTCTTTTATTACAAATGAATGAGTCTTGCCCACGTCTTATACTGACCGAGTTGTTAAATGCAATCTCTTTTTCCTGTGTCTTGAAATGCTGAGGAGACACCTGGCTCTGGGTGTATTACAGATATGCAGACTGTGCAACCTTTCCCTTGCAAAGTGAGCAAAAGAAATCTCCACCATCTGCCTTGGTCACATAGGTGGTCTGTGGGAGCAGTCGTGATGGTGTCAAAGCCATCAGCTGAAGTCACTGGCAGAGAAAAGTTCACCTGCCTCACCTAGCACCAAGCACTCCTCTCTTAGGCATTGGTGCCAGTATCTAGAGAGACGCAGTGGAACCGAACCGCCTCACTGAGGACCCGTGGAGACCGGGGGCAAAAGGAGGGAATGAGAGCTCAAGAACTGTCCTCCTTCACCATGACCTAGGGGCGCAGGATGAGTTAAAATCCAGGCGGCCACAGTCTGCATTCTTCATCTCTCCAGCTGCACCTGATCTGGGGAAAAGCTACAGCATGTAGCACACTGATTCCCTGACACGTTCTCACGGTCTGCCACAAGGAGGGTGCCCTCCATGTCACGATCCCTCAAAGGAAAGGGGATGAGGAAGCAGGGGGACAGTGTGGGAGCACGAAGGACGCAAGAGAACGCATCACGAAGCCCCTAAGGACTGGAGAACTGTCTCCTGGCCTCTTCACCAAAGTTGCAAGCCTGCCAGCAGGCGGAAGCGGGCGCTGGACCTTGGCTGCGCGCTCCCCAGGCTGCCCTGACAGTGGCAGGGATGACCAGGGGGACAGGGAAACGTCGTGGGGGCGGGGAGGTGAGGGGTCTTACTTTTGTAGCTCGCCGCCCAGGGCTGGTAGCCGTAGTAGCCGGTGATTCGCAGGATCCGCTCCTCTATGGACGTGAGCCCCGCAGGCCCGCTGGTGAGGTCCTCCACGGAGCGGGACCATTTCAGATCCTCCTTGATCGCCTCGTCCACCACCAAGTACTTGAGCTGCCGGAGCTGGGGGCTGATGTCGGACAATCTCCGGGGGCTGACGTCCGGTGACCTCATGCCACTGAGGTCGCGGGGGCAGGTGGGCAGGCGGGAAGGGGTCAAGGGCAGAGAGAGAAGGGGGATTTCGGTGAGAAGCCGAGCCGGGGCGCAGCCGGGGCCCTCTTGGGGCGGATGGGCGCCGCCGCAGGGCCGGCCGGGGCTGCTCCCCGCGCCGCTGGCCACCACCTCGGCTCCTTTGGGGCCACGACGTCGGATGGCTTGTCCCGCGCCCTCCCCTGGGCGCCTCGAGCAATGTGGTCGGGGCGAGTGGCGAGGAGCGGTGCCTTAAACTTCCAGAGCAGCTCTGGCGCGCACGTCGCCCTTCCGGAGCCCGGGCAGTCCCGGCTGCAAAGGGCCATCTGCCCGCCCGCCCGCGCAGCCCGCCGGGCCATACTCACATGGCGATGCTCTTGCCCCTGGGTGAGCCGCCGGGAAACTCTCGGATCCCCATGGGCAGCGGCAGAGTGCGGCCGGGAGCTCCCAGACTTAGGCGGAGGGGCCACGGGCCCGAGCTCCCCGCAGCCGCCGGCGGGGCCGGGGCCAGGGGGACGCGCCGCTGCCCGACTAGGGTCCGCCGCGCCGGCCGCCCGTGCGCGCCCGCGACTGGTCCCCGAGCGCCTCGGCGGCGTGGGGCGCGCGGCGGGCGGGCGGCTGAGCGCGGCGACTCCTGGCCGGTCCGCCGGGCCCTCTGCAGCGAGCCGGCCGCGGAGCAGCTCCGCGCCCCTCGCCTGCCGCCCGCCGCCGCCGCCGCCGCCGCCCGAGCACAGCGCGGGCGCGGGCGCGGGCGCCGGAGCCGGGAGAGCGCGCCCAGCAGTGCGCTCCGAGGCACCTGGGCGGGAGGGCGGGGAGGTGCCGGCCCCGCGCGCACCCACCAGGCGAGGGCGCTGCGCCCCGATCCCCGCCCGCCTGCACCCCGATCCCCGCCTGCACCGCGCGTCCGAGCCCCGCCCCGCCCCACCCCGCCCCGAAACCCCGGGCTCAGGGCGCGCTCCCCGCCCCCTCTATGTCTTGTCGCAATCCTGCCACTCCTGGTCAGTGCTTGAATCTCAAAGCCCTTCCCTGCTGCCCCAAGCACACACACCACCCATAATGAGCAAAACTACTCGGAGAGAAGTGAAGACCAAAAAAAATACTGATTCCTTACTCAGAATGCCAAGTACATAGCTGACATTTTATAGGCAAAGCCAAGCACGAAATGCATCGACTTACTACTTTGTGCGCATCGCTGCCGTCAGGCCTGCTCTCCAGACAGCGCGTTTTCTCATTGATGAGCGCAGTTTCTCATTGATGAGGGGACAGTCATTGGTCTTCTTGCATCCCGGTTCTGTTTAGCTTCTAACCAGGTTTTGTTTGGTTTTGCCCAGACCACAAGCCATTGCCTCCAGACCACCCACTCACTGCTCAGGTTATTTCTCATTGACGGCATGAAGAAATACAGGGAGAAGGGAACAGCCGTCATGCTGCTCAAAGTGACTATTTTGAATTATAAGCTATTGCTAATCCGAACCTTTCCATAAAATCAGAATCAAAATGCACTCACTATTTTATGTACTCCTTTTTTATATTAAAAATATACTGTTCATCCGCAAACTAGAAAGACAGGCAAACTTCCTCAACTTGATAGAATTTGCAAAATCCCACAGCTAACATCTTACTTAGTGCTGAGAAACTGCAAGCTTTCCTGCTAAGAGCAGGAGCCACGCAAGGGTGTCTCTTCTCACTGGTTCTTTTCAACGTCATACTGGAAGTCCTAGCTAATGAAATTAGACAAGAAAAGAATGAAAAGGTCTACCAACCAGGAAGGGAGAAGTAAAAGAAAAAGGAAATTGCCTTTGTTTGCAGATAACATGCATAAAATCTTGAAAGATCAGCCAAAATCTTCTGGAATTCACAAGCAATTAAAATAAGAAAAACAGATTCAAAGTTCGTGTGCAAAAATCAACTGGTTTCTTAAATATCAGTAAAGGCCAAATGGAATTTGAAATTAAAAATGCAATGTTTTTACTAAAAAAAGAAATATTTAGGTGTAAATCTAAGAAAATGTATACAATACTCAGATGATGAAAAGTACAAAATTCAGAGTGAAATCAGAGAACTAAATAAATGGACAGTATCCCATGTTCATGGACAGGATGACACAATACCGTTAAGATGGTGGTTCTCCCCGTTTGTCTACAGTCAATGTATTCCAGGCAAGCACAGGTTTCACACGGGAGGAATAGCTTCGAATATTCTGTAGCACAGTAGGGTAACTATGATAGAAAATAATTCAGTGTTTCAAAATAGCTAGTACAGAGGATTTTGAATGTCCCCAATGAAAAAGAGATGACAAATATTTGAGGTGATGGTATGTCAAAGGCCCTGACCTGATCATTACACATTGTATATTAAGAAGTCACAAGGCACCCCACAAAAGTGTTCCATTACCATGTGTCAGTTAAAAGTAAAAATATATTTTAAGAGAAATTAAAAACTTAAAAAGGTTTATATAGAAAAGAAAAAGACCAAGAATAGCCAACAGGACATTAAAGGAGAAAAACAGTGAGAGGACTGACATTACCTGACTTCAAGACTTTGTACATCCGTAGAAACCAAGTAAGTCATGTAGGTGAAAGAATGGACAAACAGACCAATGGAATGAATAGAGAGAACACAAATGGACTGACACACATGCCACCAAGTGACCTTTGACGAAAGAGCAAAGGAGATTCAAGGGAGAAATAGTTCCGAGAGAACTAGAAATCCATGTGCAGAAGGGAGGGAGGGACAGAAAGAGAGAGAAAGAGATCACAACTTTTGCAAAAATTAACTCAAAGTGGATCATTGACCCCAACACAAAATGATATAAAATGATAAATCTCTGAGAAAATAAATAGGAGAAAATCTAGATAACCTTGGGTATGTCAATGACATTTTAGCTACAACATCAAAGGCATGATTCATGAAAGGAGGAAAAAAAGTGCATGAGTTGGATGAATTGGACTTCATTAAAATTAAAATCTGCCCTGGAAAACACACTGGCAAGACTGACAGAAAATACTTGTGGAAGACACATCTGATAGAGCACTGTTACCCAAAATAAGAACTCTCAAACTCAATGGTGAGGAAACGGACAACTCAAAGAATTGGGGGTGGTTAGAACAGGCATCTCAGTAAAGATGATAAACAGGCAGATGAAAAGATATTCCACATCATTCACCATTAGAGAATTGCAAACTGAAACAGCAGAGACGTGTCACTACACACCTGCTAGACTGGATAAAATCCCAAATGGTAAAATGTGAAATCCTACAGGATGTGGAATGACAGGAACTCCCATTCCCTGAAGGTGGGAATGCAGCGTGGTACCTTCACCCAGCAGTCACGCGTCCTGACGTTTACCCAAGTGAGTTGAAAACTTAGATCCACACAAAAATCTGCAAGCAAATATTGATAACAAGTTTATTCATGATGGCCTGATAGGTGACTTGGTAAATAATATTTGTGATTTAAAAGATAAACTCTCAGGCCATGAAAAAACGTGGAGGAAATTTAAATGCACATGGCTAAGTGAAAGAAGCCAGGTTAAAAGGCCCTATACTGAATGATTCCGACACGACTTGGTGATAAAAAGACCGCTGATTGCCGAGGGTCGGAGGGGAAGGAAAGAAGGACCGGGAGGGTATGGAGGATTTTTAGGGGAGAGAAACTACTCTGTAGTTTCTGTAACTGTGCAAAACTCTCAGGCGTTTTGGTCACCGTGATGAGAAAGATGACCAATACAGTGTTCTTCAGGAAGACCCTCAGTCTGTGGGCCTTTGTTGCTTCATCCCCAAGAGGCTATTCAAGGGCTCCTGTGCATTTTGAAGTTTTATCTTAGCTCGGGGCTCTGGCAACCCCAAAACTCAGCAACTGTCCCTTGGCTGAACACTGGGTCTTCCAGTCCACATTGGTTCTTGAGCCCTGCTCCATTGCTAAGACCTTGCTTCATTTCACTGCTCTTTGGCAACGACCCTCTCTCAGGGCCAGTTTCAGTCTTTAGCTTGCACTCACAATTGACAAATGCTCCCAGGGGAAACCATTAGCTCCCCTTAGAGAATTAGAACAGTTCTAATTCTCTAGAATAGGAGTTCACCTCATAATTGTTCCTTTCATGGCTCTATAATGCCTTTAAAATATTATTTACCTGGTTTTCCAGTTGTTACTGTGACAGTGTAAGATCTTTTATGTCCTCTCCGCATGTAGATATCTTCCTGATACACACTTTCATGGGTGTTTTCTTTTTTTTAAAGCAGCCATGTTGTGGGTCAAAGCTAATGCGTTCACTAATATCTGCTCAGAAATTCAACGTGCAAATTTTCATTCTTAAATTTTTGACTTACCTTTGGCTTCCAGTCAATTTTAAGGAAAGGGTCAAGGATGAAAATGACTACTCAGCATGGCTCCATTTTGGTTACTTGGCATTTTATTCATCATCCAGTGATGTCAGTTCAGGAACCAGGATAACAGCAGCAGCCAGTCAATACAGTCACCTCCTATGACAGAAGTAATGCTGTTTGTTACCTGAATGAAGAGATATGTGTTTTTCATTGTAATTAATAATAAACCCTCGATGAGTAAATTCATTCATCAATTTAAAACTGTTGCAAACCACAGTAACCAATTGCTACTTCTTAGCAAGGAGGACCTGCCACTCCTTCTTACAGCTTATTTTCCTACACCAGTAAACAAAAGTTTAACTCACTAACACTTAAATATTACATTATTAAATATATGCTTTTTCAACAGGAGAGTGATTTTTGTCCAAGGGCCCGAGATATTTGGAATATTTGATACATTCCTATTCTAAATTCAATTAGCTGAACATTTACTGAGCATATGCTGCGTGTGAGGTTTGTGATGGAGGCTTGTGGTAGAAATAGGACAGACGTTTTCTGCCCTTAATGAGCCCATAGGATTATAAACAAGCAAAGAGCAAAGACTGTGATGCAGTGTCACATGGACTGAGACAGGTGTATGCAAAGGAGTCCCTGGAGGCGTCAGGAGGCATTTGCAGTCTGCTAAGAGCGATGAAAAGGGGAGATAGAATGTTGCAGATATCAGATAATGCTTCTTAGATTAGAAGCCAAATTGTTTCGGAAGGAGGAAACCATAGATGCTAAGTGTGACATGGGAACCTTTTTGTTAGAAATGGTATAAATAGGCACTGTGAAAAGTGACAGTGGTGAAGTGGGCAGAGTCAGGTGACGAAGCCTGCATACACAAAGCTCCCCCCATCATTTCTGGGAATGCCGACACAGCCCCTCTCATCTGTTCCTTTCCATCTCCTTAGCCAAACTGATCACACCGTTCTCCTGTACAAAACTCTTTCCACTGCTCTTATTGTTTTTAGATAGAGACTCCAATCCTCAACCCTGTCTCATCTGACCTGCTCCCTGCCTTGTGCTCTGTGGCTATCTTCATCTACTCTGGTGGCTCAGAGCCCATGGACTGGGTTCCCTTGCTCTTGCCCCCAGGACAGTGCAGAGGGCATCACCTCTCACAGGAAAGCTCTGTCCATCGCCCACCTCCATCAGCTTGTGAACTCCTTCCCCTGCCTCTGGTCTTGGGCTCAGACTCCTTCCTTCCAGGAAGCCTCTGCTGATCCCTGCCAGTGGATTAGGTCCTTCCCACATCCTGTAATTCTCTGCAGTGGTCTTCATAATCCTCGCCAGGGTTTCTTATGTATTAACTTACACCTGCCTTAGCCTGGGCTAAAAACTCTGTGAGGACAGGACTGCTTCTCTTTGACTGTGACCCTCAGATCTAACATAACACCTGCTCAGAAAACACTTGTCAAATAAATGAGCAAAGGCAACAAAGAAGAGGATAAAACCATAATTGGACAATAAGAGATGTCAGGAATGAAATGCACAATTTTACAAAATTTATTCGCACTTTCTGTTCCTGTCAGTTCACATTTTTCCATTAACACTAGATTCTTCCTCCAAGGTTGGTAGAGAGAGACTTCTAATTTCCTCCTACCTTATCGCTTTGGGGACTCTCACTTCAGCCTTTCTTCAATCCTCATTTTAAACCAGGACAGAATGTGTAGCAACAAATGCATCGGATTTTCTGAGTCAGGTATGGCTTCAGACATCCTGTCTCATTGTTCTCAAGAAATATGCTCCCATTGTCAGACACCAGTCCCAAATTTTGATTTAAAAATTATACCTGCTGTGACATGTGTCTTTTGTGTGCTCAGAGGGTATATGGATTATGATAGATAGAGAGAGAGATGATGGACAGATAGATAGCAGATGGATGTATGATAGATGAGATGATAGATGACAAATGGATGATAAATGACAAATGGATGATAGATAACGAGATAGATAGCATATAGATGGATGATAGAGAAGATGATAGATAGATAGATGACAAATGGATGATAGATAGAAAAAAACAGACAGACAGACGACAGATAGATAGAAGGTAGAT